AGGTGCTCCCGCCCCGTCAGCAGGTCCGTGATGGCGTCAAACTGGGGACAGTAACCCATGTGCTGGTGGACAGACTGGAGGTCGGTGAGCACGCTGTGGGACAGGTGAGCATGGGATGGGGACAGGTGAGCAAAATATGGGGACAGGTGAGCACACAATGGGATGGGGACAGGTGAGCATGGGATAGGGACAAGTGAGCAAGATATGGGGACAGGGGAGCATGGGATGGGGACAGGTGAGCATGGGATGGGGATAGGTGAGCATGGGATGGGGATAGGTGAGCACGGGATAGGGACAGGTGAGCATGGGATGGGGACAGGTGAGCATGATATGGGGACAGGTGAGCATGGGATAGGGACAGGTGAGCAAGATATGGGGACAGGTGAGCATGGGATAGGGACAAGGGAGCACACTGTGGGATGGGGATGTGTGCCAGGGATACTGCGGAAACAAGGACAAGGAGCTGCAGGGGATGAGGATGAGGATGAGGATGAGGATGAGGATGAGGATGAGGATGAGGATGAGGATGAGGATGAGGATGAGGATGAGGATGAGGATGAGGATGGAGCAGGCTGCAGGGCAAAGGGGCAGGAGGAGCACAGGGTGGGGACAAAGATGATGGCAGAGGTGCTGTGGGGACACAGAGAGGGGTCCGAGCTGTGGGGTCTCTGCATTCACCCACCTGTGCCCCTTCAACCAGGCCTCTCCCCGTGTCACCTCCGTGTCCCCCGTCAGCATTTTGAAGGTGGATGTTTTCCCGGCGCCGTTCACCCCCAGGAGGCCAAAGCACTGCGGGGAGCAGAGCGGGGTCACCAGCAGCCCTGGCCCTGCCCAGGGTGYTGTCTGTCTGTSTGTCCATCTGTCCCTCACCTCCCCGGGGGGAATGGCCACGCAGAGCCGGTCCACGGCCGGAGTCTTCCTGCGCCGGTACACCTGCATGGCAGAGAGGTGACACTGGGTGCCCCTCCTGTCACCGCCAGCATGGCCGGGGACTCTGGGGGGGTTTGAGGGTCCAGCCCCACTCACCCACCTTGGTCAGATCCTTCAGCAGCAGCAGGTGGCCGTGTGGGGATGTGCTGGCCACCCTYGCCCTCTCCCTGGCCACGTCCTGGTCCTCGTCCCCCAGCGAGGGCAGCTCCAGGGACCGTGGCCTGTGGGAACAGGGGCACATCCAGAGCTGCCCACCCCATGGAACACCCCCAGCACACCCCAGTGCTCACCCCAGGCGCAGGAAGAAGCGGTGATACTGCAGCAGGAGGGTGAAGAGGAAGAAGACGACGCCCTCGATGGCCATGGCGAACATGTTCTTCCCCGCCAGGTCCCAGGAGAGGGGGGACACAAAGCGCTTGTCCCCTGCGAGCAGCCAGAGGGGCTGTGGGAATGGGGCACCCCCGTGCTGGGTTTTGGGGAGGGTGAGCAGCCCTGACACCCCCAGACTCACCGAATCTCTCAAAGGCATCAGCCATCGCCTGGTTCTTCACCATGTCAATGAGGCCTCGGCCCAGGCAGAAATGGGGGAAAATGAGGAAAACCTTCTTCAGGACACGGTTGATATCATTGAGGTTCTGCAGGGGCAGCGAGGAGAGGGGTGAGAGAGCTGGCATGGGCCTTGCAGGGAAGGGATGGGGGATCTGGGCCATCCCAAAGCTCACCTTGTCCACAAAGAGCTCCAGCACGAAGGTGGCCACGCTGCCGTTGATGCCGATGAAGAGGTTGATGCAGGTCAGCGCCACGTAGGCGGTGCTGGGGATGCTGAAGAGGAAGGAGGCCGGGTACATCAGCGGGGTGATGGACCACCTGAGGGGCGAGAGGCAGAGCCTGGTGAGGTGCACCCCCAAACCCGGGGGGYGTGAGGTGGCACCAGAACCCCATCACCCCGGCTACCCCCAACCCCACAACCCCTTGGCCCTGCCGGGCTCTGCTGCCCCATCACCCGTAGAGCAGCAGCAGCAGCACCAGGGAGGGCAGGTTGGCCGAGGAAACGTAGGATTCCTGCTGGAAGCAGAGGAAGATGAGGATGACCAGCAGCGCGGGCACCAGGTAGTTGCACTGCAGGGATGGAGAAACCAGGAAAAGGGTCAGGGGTGAGACCAGAGCCCTTCAACTGGTCCCTGTCCCCGTCCCCATCCCCACCATGTCCCAGGCGAAGTTGCCCAGCCAGTAGGTGATGGGCTTCATCCCGCTGACAAACTGCARGTGCTTGGCCTTGCTGACCCTCTCCTCGATGAGGAAGACGACAAAGCTGGCCGGGACGAAGGACATGGCGAAGATCACGCAGATGGACACCAGCACGTCCACAGAGGTGGCCATCCTGCCAGAGGGGAGAGGGCTCAGCAGGGCTCAGCRGRGGCCAGCGGGGGCTGCGGGACCCCCACCCCAGCACTCACAGGGCGGCCTCTGACAGCTGCTCCTTGGTGAGGTTGAGGGGGTGGTTGGTGGCCGTGATCCCAAAGAGTGTGGGGTCGGCGCCGGGGGGCAGC